CATGGTGTCCGCTCTCGGGATAGCAAAAATATCTCACTTAATAATCGACACCCCGTCCTCAACCCCACGAATCGCCATGAGTAGCTTCTCGCTCTTTGAATCTGTCACCTCCACCATCACCAAAGCCGTGGCCCCACTATTAAGTGGGAAGATGCAGCGCAAGTACGTAATAATTCCTATCTTCCCCAACACCACTGGCTATCCTAATACGTCCGTGGATTGTAGCTCGGTCGCGTGTTTGGAATTCGTCAAGCAGAATGCGACTCGAAACAACCCTGCATCTGTGGTTGCTGCCATCGACGCCTTCGCTGCCAGCAATACGATGATGAACGTCGGAGCAGGCAAAGGAGCTATTGTGGACGCCGAGATTCGACAGAAGAAACCACGAGCTATGGCAGAAATCGGAGCTTACACGGGATACAGTACCGTGCGCTTTGCCAGTGCCCAACGCGAAGCCGCCAAAGCGGCCGGCATCGACTCCCACTACTACTCGTTCGAGTATTCACCGGAGTTTGCGGCCCGTGCACGTGAGGTACGTTGTTGGGAAGGGTGTTGTATGTATCTTGATCGACTTACGATTGTGTGACTAGATGGTCTCGTTTGCCGGGTTGGATGACCAAGTGACGGTCATCCAAGGCGCATTCTCCGACCAACTTCACCATTTGAAGGGCAAGACCGTCGATGTGAGTACTTTGACGTACACTGCTATCTATTACTAGAGTCCGTCTAATACCACTTTCCCTTGTTGCCTCTTCTCCAGATCTACTTCATTGACCACGACAAGAGTTTGTACGTGCCTGACGCCGAAAAGATCATCGCAAGCGGTACTCTCCAGCCAGGCTCGTTGCTCATTGCAGACAACGTCCTGATTCCAGGAGCCCCTGAATATCTCACTTTCCTTGAAGAACACCCCCAACTGAAACCTGTACTCCACAAGGTTCCACTGGACTTGTTTACGTGGGTTAACGATGCCATTTCCGTTGCAACCTACACCAAGTAACACCAGTGTAGGCACCACTCGTGTTCGACATCACCTCGACCGTGGATTAAACGTGCGGATAATGCGTTGCAATTATTGTGTCAGTTTCGTGATTTATTCCTGCTCTTGGATACTCTCTTTCCTGTGCTTGTCAGCCGCTAGTTTTAGCCAGAAGTCCGTCCACGTCGTCCCTCACATTCAGTCCATTGAGCCTCCTTCGGGCGTTGCCCAGCAGCAGGTATTTCTCGAGGCTCGGAGCAACCTTGACTCCACAGTGTAACCCATCTGCGTAACCTCCACTTCCTTAGACTCCGAACACTAATCAACGGCGTCTACAGCACCACGAGGAAGGGGGCTCCATATTAGTCGGCACTAGTACAGTGTCTGTTGTATAGTGGTCAGTGTTGCACTCAATTTAACTTGCCTTGGGGAAAGGCAATGCGTTGGTCAAGTTGTTTTTCTCCAGAATATCTTCGAGCAACCACCCTCTTCACCTCGAGGCCCTGTGGGCTTCTCGAGACCGCACCAACTTGGTTGGAGGGCGATTTTCAAAGGGCGACTGCATGCCCGTCGGTCGGACAGATAGATCCTTGGCGGGTGAACTGCTCTCACGCGAAGGCGACTTTCTTGAAATCGCAGTTTCGGTCATGACAAAACGAAGTCTATACGGTGTACTTTTAACGTTAGTGTTTTTGGATACCTTGAAACAAAACTCCATTGAAAAATAGAATACAACATTGATAGCCATTCCACGTAGCAGATACTACACAAAAGTCATTTGCCATATTGCTGCTACGTTTTGTTCGTGTTTATTTTCCAACTCCTACGTACTTGAAGACGTAGAGACTCAATGCCATCAGGACCATACCCACTAGACCGCCGTTGGAAACGAGGTGGATGCGACCATTAGCGTATGTGTAAGCAGTAGGGAAGACATCCTTCATCGTGATAGTAGCCATCATGCCGGCGACAACGCCATATAGCGTAGCCTGTGCAAAGTCATTGTCATCTTTGCCGGTAATGGCGAGGGCGATGAAGGCCCCGACATGCTCGGCGATGGCAGCTACAACACACCACATGATTCCTTTACACTTGCTACCAGTAGCGAAGTACACTGGCGCGGCCACCGCGACACCTTCTGCTATGTTGTGGAGTCCGACACCGATGGCCATGGATAAACCGATAGCCGGGTCTTCAATTCCGGCAGTGAACGTGGCGATACCCGACGGGATGTTGTGCAGTGCGATGGCGATTCCACTCAGGATACCCATTCGCTGTAACTTCTGCTTAGCAGCCTCGTCCATCCTGATAAAACCTTGATCTTTGGGTGATTCCAGCATAACACTGTCCTGAAGGCTGCCATGTTCGGATCTTCTCATTTCGTTGCAGTTGTTTATCTCCTTCGGCGTATCGGGACCAATATCCGGCGTGAGCTTCTGTACGATGAAGTCCACGCCGTAGACGACCATGATCCCGCCCCCTAGACAGATCGTTGCCGCCGTCCAGGACTGCCCGCTGAGCGCGTCGTAATCGTCGCGGTCGGGCTCAAAAGCGTCAGTAAACTCGAGCACGGAATAGCCGAAGCTCAATACGAGTGACAGAAAGACTGTAACCCCGCCAGAGATACTGAGCGTGGTAGCCAAAGCCATTGGGGTGGCAAGGCGAAGCGTATGGTGACTACAAATAATCAATCCACCCACAACTGTCGCAAGTGCAGCACCAGCGTTGAGCAGGAAAGCCGTGCCGATTTGACCGCTTTGTAGTCCGTGCTGACTCATGTTTGTGTTTATTACAAGCTCTTGTCCCAACGAGATCTGTGTTCCACCGAGTTAATTCTTGAATGGGCTGAACGGACAAGCTCAACCCAGACGATCGAAGTCTATCGTCTCTTCGAGGTCGACTTTTATCCATATTTCCAACAAATTAAAGGAGGTGGTAATACTGCTGTGCTGGACTCGAAGCCAGTCGCGCTCAAGTGGTGCAATGGGACCAGCAAGAGCGTTACGGATCGAGAGGATGACCGACACAAGAGATGAGTTTGTAATCACTGACTACCACTGTGTGTGATGATGTGGGTGTCTGGCATTTAGGTGGCTCAAACAAGTTGACAATTGGGCTACCAGTCGAAATTCTGCCGTCGCGGATTTTAACTTTAAAAAAAGTCTGTCGGGATGTTCTCACTCTCGTTAAGTCGACCGCTGCAGTGGTACTGCGCTGGATACGGTATGGGGGCAGCAACTGAGCATTATTCCATACATTGACTTACTTCGTCAGTAGGACCAATATTAACATTCTGCTACTGCTAGTAATTGCTTCCGAGAAAACCAAGAGAAAAACTTATGTGAAGGGACTTTCAAAACTTGCACAAGAATGAATGGGGAGGGGGGGGGCTCGAAATCCGACTGTTTGAAGCGCTAACTCATTTCTATTTTTGTGGATATCAGGCAGAATATCAGGTCAAGTTTTGGATCAGCTGAGAAGAAACATCGACAACTGTCGCGAACCTGGTGGGGATTTCTAATCGCTTACCAAAGGGAACCAAGAAATTACCTTCGCCAAGATGTTCAACGCGTTGATAATAAGTAAGCAAAACGACAATCTCATGGCGTCATTGTAGTTCTGTAGACATCACTTGGCATAGTCCCTATGCTCCTGCTGTGTCCTAAGCCATGGTGCTTCATATCACCCGCCTGTCTCGCTGACATACATTACTCTCATTTAATCTATGGCGGAAGTAACTGAAAGCGCTCCATCCCTCAAACAGTTGTGATCAACATGGAGTAACGTGCACAAGGTGTTTGATACAAATCTTTCGTGCAACGATGCGCATTGGAGAATGCGATCGAGATCAAGCACAACTTTCTTTTCAGGATGCACCGAAGAAACGAGTACTTTCACCGGAGTACCAACATCCTAGAATAAAAAAAGCAGGACGTACGTGCAATTCAAGCTTTCTACACTTAGGTGGCCACCTTGCGTTTTTTACGAGCAGCACGGAGGTTCGCTTCGGCTACTTTCTGCTTCTCGTCGTCCTGGTTGTCGTCCTCATCATCGTCTTCGTCCAGCAAGTCCATCTTGAGTTCCTGGCGGTTGCCGAACGTGAGCGCCACGTAAACCTTGACACGGACACGGTTGAACACCTGCAGCTTGAGGTTCTTCTGTACCAGTAAGAGCGTGTGACTAGTTCCATCGAACTTGACAACATCTTCGTCGTCCTGCTCGTCCTTATCACAAAGGAAGATCATGCCTTCAATACCGAAACGAGGCAGCAGAACACCCACGCCATTGTTCTTGACCTTCGTGATGACGGCATCTGTGCGCGTAGGATACTGCTGGAAGTACAGCACCGTGTGCAGAGTCACCGACGCTCGACCAGCCAGTTGCGCAGCGTGGTGACGACGATTGAGTTGGTCGCTGATCTCGTGCAGATGCGACTTGTTCTCGAGGTAACTGGGCAGTGGAGCCACACCGATAGCTGCAGCCAGCAGGCGATGCACCACAACGTCGGCGTAACGACGGATAGGCGACGTGAAGTGCGTGTAGATCGGAGCAGCCAGACCGTAGTGGTGGAACTCAGGAGGAGCCACCTCGCCCGAGCTGAAGTAACTCGCTGGCATCATACAGCGCGTGGTCATGATACGCAGCAACTTGTTGAAGTACGGGTTCGCCTTGCTGCCGTGTTTCCTCTTGCCACCCGCAGCTTCCTTATCGGCAGCATCCAGAGAGTCTTGCAGTTGTTTCGATGTGTCAACGTGCAGTTCGACACCCACAGCCTTCGCCTGACTACACAGCAAGTCAAATTGGCGCTTGGAAGGCGCCGGGTGACGACGCAGCATCGAGAACGTCGGGAAGTGCCGCACAATCTTCTTGGCCACTGTGATGTTAGCCAGCAGCATGAATTCTTCCACCAGAGCGTTGGTGTCTCTCAGCGTGTACATCTGCACATCCAGCGGGTTCTGAGTCTCCGTATCCAGCACAAACCGCACTTCAGGAGAAGCCAAAGTCAACGCTCCAGCCTCAATACGCTTAGCTCGCAGTCTGCGTGCAATAGTATTCAGAGTCTTGATGCCACTTCCCAGCAATTGTCGTCGTTCAAACTCCTCGTCACTCTCGCCCTTCTTCTTCTTCTTTGGCTTCGTATCTTGACCGTACACTCCGCCAGCATCTGGATCGTCCAAGAACTCTTGAGCTTGTTGATAGCTCAGCGACGCCACCGATCGGATCAAACTCTTGCAGAACTGCACGTCAATCACCTGAACGTCGTTATCGCCCACAAGTTTTAACTCCCACAACACACTGAAAGCGAAGTGATCTTCCGTATCCGTCAGCGAACAGAGCTTGGTAGTCAGCAGACCTGGCAGCATATCGAGACGGCGGTCCACAAGGTAAGTGGATGTGCCACGATCCGCAGCCTCTTCGTCTAGAGCACTACCAGGAGCCACAAAGTGCGTCACATCGGCAATGTGAACACCCACCTGTAGGTTCCCGTTGGGCAGTAACTGGGCATGCAGAGCGTCGTCGATATCCTTACAGTTGGGCGGGTCAATACTGCACACAGGCAGGTCACGCAGGTCCCTGCGTCCTGTTGAGTTCTCAGGTGTAATCTTCCAGTCTTCAGGAGGCAAGCAACGCATCACTTCGTCACTAAACTGGTCGCACGGAATGTCGTGCTCAATGAGGAGCACGTTGGTTTCCGTCTCCTTGTCGCCAATCACACCCAGTGTGCGTACGTAGTGACCCAGAGGGAACTTGCTGTCTGCAGGCCAAGAGTCAATCGCCACCAGCACTCGCTTGTCCATCAGAGCTTCCTGTTGACGCGTCTGGATCTTAATCTTTGGCACTTTCCGATCCACAGGAACCACCAAGCAGCTTCCAGACGCATTCAGCGCACCGTCACGAGGAGGCTCCAAAGAGCCGCAGAACTTGCGCCAATTGCGCTGGATGATGCCCACGACACGTCCAGCAGGCTTGGCGTTCTGCGACGCGTCACTCTGCACCAAAGCCACTTGTTCCAACGACACTGTAGGTTCCGCCACTCCCACTGGTTCCGGCTGCACTTCTTCGTTCTCATCAGCCTCTTCAGCAGCCTCCGCAGCTGCCGTTCCATTGGCAGCAAACGAGTCCGACGGCTTCTTCCATTGGTCCTTCGGTAGCAGTTGAATGGCTACCAGATCTCCATCAATCGCACGGTTAATATGCTCTCGTCCTTGTAGCAACACTGGAATCTTGACTCCATTAGCACCGTGAATCAACACATGACACTCGAGCCAATGGTCTCTATTGCATCGAATCGTTCCCTTAAAGAACCGCTTGTTCTTAATCCCCGCCAGTAGCTCAGCAGCGGATAAATGCACCGGATAGAGCTTCTTTTTACCTCTTCCTTTGGTGCTACTCACACCTTCAGCCGTCAACTCCTTCTCCTCTGCAGCCGAGGCAGACAATAAATCCTGCAATTCTGGGAATTTATCTGCCACAGGCTTTAGAAAATCTGCAATGGTTTTTCCTCCAATGACACCAAACTTCTCAGCCTGCTTCAGATCTTCCGCGTCATTGGCTAAAAATTGGACCGTGACATCCTTCCGCTGCAGCTCTGCCAAGTGGTCGGCGTACCACTTCCAGGCGATGGCTACGGCGCGTTCATTGCGCTCCTCCTCGGTCTCTAATGGAGTGTCCCCCGAAGTGTCCTCCTTGTAGCCTCTGGGCAGCATCTGTTTCTTCTGGACAAAGCAGGATCTGTGGTGTTCATTAGCGAAGACCACGAAGCGTCTGTCAGCGTTCATGAGCAGCGCGCGTAGACGATTGTAGACGCCCAGATCTTGACGCTTGACGAACTCCCACACCGTCTCAAGCACCAGAACGTCCGCAAAGACTTCTTGTCCTGCAGTGTCCTCCTTCGTCTTCTTCTTCTTCTTAGTGCTAAACTCTAGAGCGTCCATCTGCAGTAGAACTGTCTTCATGGACGGTAATAGATACACTCCGTCACGTGGATTATCGGCCAACAGCGTCTTGGTTGTGCCCAGAACGTGTGTCGCTGCTGATGCGTCATCGTCGGCGCTGCAAAGCGAGCAATTAGGTAGCGAGCAGCTCAGATCGTCGCGAAGGTAGCGCTCGCGCACCTTGCGCACCACGCGACCGCGTCGCGTGGCCACGTTCAGCTCGTCCACACACCAGAGGAGCGGCGTCTCGACCTCGGTCATATTGAAACAGAATGATGATGCATGGTGCGGTTGGTGGAAATCCACTGGAGGTTATGATTGGCTGAAAAAGAGTAGATGGCTTCATTATTAGGATTGGCACAAAGTTATGTTTGAAGCTGTCCAATCGTGTGGCAGACTAAAGGAAAAGTGGATGCAAGGAATTCTTGCCCAGAATTGACGGCAAGCTGGAAATAATGTGGCGACAGCGCGTGATTCAATGGGGGTAGTCGGCAATGAGAAAATATGAGCATACGTGTTCGTTAGTGTTATTTATAATATATGCCATAGACAACTGATTTTGCAAAACCAAGACCGCGTTGTATCAGAGTCGTTCCCCTCCACTCGCTACAACCTGTAGCGAGTCTGTATGAAAAAGGTAATAGCTCGCTAACGCATAGGTTTGAAATGGACGACAACTTCGAATCCAGCTATGGCCAGATAGCCAACCGCAACACACGTGGAGATGGTCAGTGCCATTAAAATCATCACTCGCGTGTGTCATATCTTTTTTAGTCGTAACGCTTGCGCCGGTCCAATCGCCACTAGAGCCAAGATGCCACTGTCGGGTCCACAATTGTCACCGGTTTTTAATTTCTTGGTGCACGAGATGTCGAAGTGGCAATATAGTTCTGTCGTCCACGTTGAGCTGGTGTGTTCGGCCCATTCACGAATTGTCTCGGTGAGTGGAACAGGATCTACATAGCTGTTCCAGAAGCTTGCAGCAACCACAAGCATGAGCCAGCAAGATATACAAAACGGTCAAGTCGGCACGGCATTCACGCTCAACGCTGCCGCTGCATTTGCCACAGTGGTAGGAGGATTAATCATCTGCAGTCCCCGCACGCTTCGCCTTGCCAGCCCAATGGCTCTGGCTACCACACTCAGCATCTCAGGTGGACTCACGATCTTCCTATCCCTTGTGGTGAGCTTCGGCTACTCCGTACTCGAATTCACCCTGGCGTTTAAACCCGAAAGCTATGATACACTCGGCGGCCAGGCCTGGACAGCGGCAACGATCTGTCTAGGAGCAGGAATCATGATCGTCTTCGGCGTAGATTTCATCGTACAGAAGCTTACACCCCAGATTGAACCCGACACGCCCAAGGAGATAAACGACATGAATGAAATGGGAGCATCCGTACACGGCAGCGTTCAAAACAGTATAAACCTGGAGCCGGCCCCAGAGCAAGACTTGGTCAGAATGGACGAAGCTGCTAAGCAGAAGCTACAGCGAATGGGCATCCTGAGTGGAATCGCCATCGCATTGCATAACATCCCGTCGGGTATCGCCACGTTCACTGCCGGAATTGAAGACCCGGCCATCGGTATCTCCATGGCGATTGGAGTGGGGCTCCACAATATCGCAGAGGGCGTCGCTGTGGCAGCACCAGTGTACTTCGCCACGGGAAGTAAGCGGAAGGGCATCATGTGGTGTGTTGTAGCTGCCGTCGCTGAGCATGTCGGGGGCTTCATAGCCCTCGCCATTACCGGCAAAGAGAACAACGACTTCGCCGAAGGCACGCTGTACGGCATTGTCGCCGGCATGATGTCTACCATCACCATGAAGGAAATCTTCCCTACAGCTTACACTTACGCAAATGGCCGCATCCATCTAGTTTCCAATGGTTGTCTTGTAGGCATGCTCCTTATGGCTTTGAGCCTCTACTTCTTCAAATACGTGGGTATAGGAAGATAAGAAACAGCACCAGTAGACATACTTAATTAAGTACGGTGTAATGAATGATAGAGTCGCGGAGCGAATTGCAGAACACGAGCAAATTCAAAACCTACGCAATTGCGAAAATCAGTTGTATTACGATAAAACACTTCTTAATAAGTCATACTCTCTGTCACAGGTCAGTTTGAGCCTTCGATGCGGCGCTTGGGGGGGGGGGGGGGGGGGGGGGGGGGGGTAGACGCAGCAGTGAAGATGAATATCGACAACTTCTATCCATTGTCAAGAATACAATTGGAAGGAGCGTTATTATGAGAAACCACCGTCTTGCAAAGATGATGCTGGACTACGTCGAGAAAATCGCGTGTACACGTAAGGGGCTTATAGGATATATTGCTTTACAACTTTTTTAGTAGCAAGTTAGCACAAACAACTAGTGAATAAGGAAAGCATGAGAAGCGTATATATTCTGCGCTTTGAAGACCCACCTAGAGGAAGTTTGCAATCTAGCTTTACATTACTATTAGTAAAGCTAACACCTACGACGCGGTGGTTGCGGACATAACCCAATACCATATTTGCAAAACTTGCGCTTTCCTGAATAGCCTAATTAATGTGTATGATGCGATGAAAGCGTCCGGTTATTATTTTTTTAAAAATAGATTTTGCGTTGAATGGAGATAGCAACCAGAGATGTTGCTGTCTTCGTCGCAAGACTTATCTAATTAAATATTTTAGAAATGAACATATTTCTGTAAAAATAATACGTTAGGATTTTAAAATTAATAAGTAATAATTCTGAACATAAACATACATCGAAATTGTTGCTAAACTGCAGGGAAATTGAAAAAAAAAATCCACACTAAGCTTGATCGGAATATACAAGCAACCTTTATCTGTTTTTGTTTTTTTGGACAGTTAGATTTTAGTTGTGGTGCTAAGTATTTTCAAATACATAAATAACGTTATTCTTACAAAAAAACGTGGATCTCAAATAAACGACCAACATTTCATTTGTCTAAAATAACTATTTTAATACATAAATGTTAAATATAATGTGAATGCCTTTTACTTGATATTTGAAACGCTCTCACAAATTTGCACTATCTAACAGTATTTCTGTGCAATACTGGTACAAACGCCAGCAGGGGCATCCAGGAAGCTACGCATCCATCCAAGCGGCCCCCACGGCCCCGCCCAACACTCACATCGTAGCCGCGCGTCGTCCATACCCGCCCATACCAGAGTCACACTCTAACTTTGTGCCCAACTCATGGGACAGCACTTTTTGTTCCACCGCGATCTGGTGGCTGCCACAGCCGTGCATCATGCGGTAAATGCGCGTCTCTCGAGCGACCAACAGGCAGATCTAGTGCTTGTAGGTCCACAATGGCTTCGTATCTACCGTGTGGAGCCTTCTCCGAGCCCCGAGAGTGGCGTAGAAGCTTCAAAAGGACACGTGCTCCACCAATTGGCCTCCTTCCCCTTAGCAGGCGTGGCTGAGAGCATCCAGGTGCTCAAATTCGATCGCAGCTTACTCAGAAAGAAGCACCGCTTTTTAGGAGGCGAGGAAGTGCTTCTACTCACGTTCCCGCTGTTTAAATGGGTCATTGTGGGCTACGATCGACGTCTACGGACTCTAGCGACACTGGCCATGTTCTCCTTCGAAGAGGACGCTATCGGGCCTGGAGCAACGTTAAAAGGAGAGAAGAATGGACGAGAGCAGCTGCTGGGACTCGCTACGCAAGCCGCAGCCTGTGTAGACCCTCAGACTCGCTGTGGCGCCATGCTCGTGTACTCGGATCAGCTGGTTATTGTGCCTTTCAGAAGCGAATCTATGGAGTTATCGTTCTTTGAAGAAGACGACGATGAGTTTGAGGACGGAGAGCAGGGAACAACCACCGCCGACTCGGAGGATGAAGAAGATGACGAAGAAGAGAAGAAACTTGAGGAATTAGTGAAGGAGAGCAAGAACAGAGGAGTGACTAGTGACATGAACAATACGCTCAGTGCGCTACTGGACAAGAGTGTGAAAGTCGGAACGAAAAGGAAGAGAAACCACATGAGCGGCCTCATGCCGAACGATATAACCGGTCGAGAGTTCCTGTTGCGACTGCGAGAAGTGGAAATTACAGGGAAAGTGATCGATCTGGCCTTCCTGGATGGATATTTAGAGCCTACACTGATGGTACTGCACGAGGAGAACGAGAAAAACTCGACGTGTGGACGGATGGCTGTGGGATTCGACACTTACTGCTTGACTGTCATCTCCATCAACATGAACACGAGGCTGCACCCGAAGATCTGGACGGTGAAGAACCTCCCGTCGGACTGTTTCCGTTTGATCCCGTGTCGTGCACCACTGGGTGGTGTGGTGGTCTTGTCGGCTAACGCTTTTCTATACTTTAACCAGACTCAGTTCCATGGTTTGGCGACAAATGTGTTCGCGAGCAAGACGGTCAACCAGTCAGTGTTTCCTCTCAGCGACGCAGTGTACGAGACTCCCGATCACGAGACTGCACAGCTCAATATTGTGCTGTACGATTGCCAGTACGAATATCTGCAAGAGAAGGAGCTGTTGCTGACGACGCCAGGTGGAGAAGTGTACGTGCTGTCGCTGCCCTATGAAGACACGTCTAGTCGTGGTCTGTACGGGTTTGGAAGCGTGTCTTCAGGTCGAAATGCGTCGCTGTCGCTGCGCATGCTGCGGTCTAGTATTCAGGCGAGTTGTTTGTGTATCAACGACGAGAACAAGACGTTGTTTGTAGGCTCACGGTCAGGCGACTCTGTGTTGTTCGCTATGGACAAGAAGAAGCTGGCAACTGCAGTGGAAGAAGATAAAGACGAGGAAATGCCGATTAAGGAAGAAGTTGTTAAACAAGAAGCTCCTGAGATCAAGTCGGAGCCTGCTGAAGAGGAAGAAGAGGACGAAGACGACTTGTTCTTGTACGGTGCTGCACCTACAAAGGAAGAACCAGCAGCGACGAGCTCCATTGAGACTTACAACGCTGCTGACGGCTCGAGCGTGAAGAAAGAGGAGAATGGGACTTCAGAGGAAGACACTGGCCCGTACGACTACGAACTCCGGCAGATTGACGTGCTGCCAAGTATCGGGCAGATCACTTCGATCGAGTTGGGCGTCGAGAACAACGCAGACTCGAATGAAAAGCGCGAGGAGCTGGTGATCAGCGGTGGATATGAGCGCAGCGGTTCCATCTCCGTGCTACACAATGGGTTACGTCCTATCGTCGGTACCGAGGCAGAGCTGAGTGGCTGTCGGGCAATGTGGACGGTGTCGTCTTCTCTACCATCTGCGACCAAGAGTTTGGATGGACGGAGCTATAACGCTTACTTGATCCTAAGTGTTGCTCATCGAACGATGGTGCTGCGGACTGGCGAAGGTATGGAGCCTTTAGAAGACGACAGTGGCTTCTACACGTCCGGGCCTACTCTTGCAGCAGCGAATTTGTTCAACAAGCAGCGGATTGTTCAGATATTTAAGCAAGGTGCACGTGTGATGATGGAAGTGCCTGAAGAGGAGACATCTAATGGACAAGAGAAGCCAGAAAAGACAGAAGGTGAGGACGAGGAGGAGGACGAAGATGACGGACCGAGAGTTAAGTTAGTGTGCACGCAGGAGATCACACTGGAAGGTGACGTCGAGTGTGGAGGCATGAACGTGGACACTTCCAGCGTCGGAATCGTATCGGTGGACGTGGCTGATCCGTATATTCTTCTGCTATTAACTGATGGCTCGGTTCGTCTGCTTATGGGAGATGAAGAAGACATGGAGTTGTCGGTGATTGACCCGGAAATCGACTACGCTGACGGCATCACTGATACGAATGGAAGTGCGGATACGTCCAAGCACGGCAGTAGTTCTGCGTGCCTCTTTTACGATTGGGCTGGCATGTTCCGTGAGAATGCGTGGGCGCAGGACGAGCGTGAAGAGCGTCACGAGTCTGCTACACAGCGAGCAAAAAGTACAAACGATGACGATGATATGGACGCGTTGTACAGCAGCAAACCGAGTCCAAAGGTGGCCTCAACGAGCGCTGTCAAGAAGCCGAGCCAAGCTACACCGAGGAATGCCGACGGATCTGTATCGATTCCTCTGCTGAAGCAGAAGGACGCAAAGATGATGTGTGGCATGTGCTTCGGCGATGGCTCTCTGCATGTGTTTTCCTTGCCTGACTTCAAGAAGCGAGGTGTGTTCCCTTACCTCACATTTGCACCGCAGTCGTTGGTGAATACACTGGAGCACTACCAGGTCAGCAAGACCAAGACAGTCAAGTTCTCCGCCCCCGTTCTTGGTCTCAATGCGTCGTCATCTTCAGCAAACGACGGTCGTATCAAGAAGTCACACACGATTAACTCGCCTGTTGCAGACATCGTTATTCACCGTATGGGTCCGAGTGAAGGTCAGCACAATGCTCAATATCTCTCTCGTATGGTGATGCTAGTGTTTCTAGCCAATGGCGACCTACTCATGTACTCTGCTACCCCCAAATTTGAGAGTTTAAAGCCTCGAACCAACGGAGAAGTCGCACCAGTCTATCATTTCGTTCGGGTGGGGACAGATCTCATCACTCGACCATTTTTGCCCCCGAAGGCGCGCACAAACGCACACAACGAAGCTGGCAATAACCCGGAAGTCAACACCAGCGCAGTGCTGGCGAAACTCCGCGCTGGCTTCCGCTATCCCATGCTGACATGCTTCCACAACGTCAACAACATGAGCGGCGCGTTCTTCCGAGGAGCCCACCCGATGTGGATTCTTGGAGACCGTGGACAACCGTCTTTCGTCCCGATGTGCGTCCCTGGCTCCGCTCCGCCAAAGACGAATGGAACGTCCAAGAATGCAGCGCCTAAAGTGAGTGTACCAGTTCTCAGTTTTACGCCGTTCCACCACTGGAACTGTCCGAATGGCTTCATCTACTTCCACTCTCGCGGTGCGTTACGAGTGTGTGAACTTCCTTCCAGTAAAACATCGACAATTCTGCCATCGAGCGGTGGATTTGTGCTTCAAAAAGCTGAATTTGGCGCAACTTTACACCACATGTTGTACCTAGGCAGCCATGGCCCTGGAGGTGTGGCTGAAGCGCTTGAGGCACCCACGTATGCTGTCGTTTGCAGTACCAAAATGAAGCCGGCTGATGCTGAACGAGCCACGGAAGTGGATGATGCAGAGGAGGAACATGAGCCGGAAAACTTGGACGCGAATGGAAATCCTGTTGGGAGCAACGTCATGGCACCGACCGCTGAAATGTTCCCAGACTACGAGATCGACCAGATGGCGCACACGGAAGAAGACGTGTACGAGTTACGCTTGGTGCAGACAAACGAGTTCGGCGAATGGACACGTCGTGGAGTGTTCCGTGTCCACTTTGAGCGCTACGAAGTCGTACTCAGTGTGAAGCTCATGTATCTGTACGACTCGTCTCTTATGAAGGAGGAAGTGGCCTCTACTTCACCGGAATGGAACAAAAAGAAGCGTCCTTACTTGGTCATTGGCACGGGTTGGGTCGGACCTCACGGGGAAGACGAAAGTGGTCGTGGTCGGCTTTTACTGTACGAACTCGATTACGCTCAATATGTCAACGAAGAGGGTGGTGCTACCAGTGGAAAACTCCCAAAATTGCGACTAGTATTCATCAAGGAGCACAGACAAGGAGCCATTTCGATGGTCTCGCAGCTTGGACCGTACGTGTTGGCAGCCGTGGGCTCGAAGCTCATCGTGTACGAGTTCAAGTCGGAGCAGTTGATCGGTTGCGCTTTCTACGATGCACAGATGTACATTGTGACGCTGAATGTGGTCAAGGACTTTGTCATGTATGGAGATGTCTACAAGAGTGTGCATTTCTTGCGGTGGAGAGAGATGCAGCGACAATTGGTGCTGCTAGCCAAGGACTACGAACCTCTCGCTGTCTCTGCTACAGAGTTCAGTGTGTTCGAGAAGAAACTGGCGTTGCTAGCGGTGGATATGGACGAGAACTTACACGTGATGCAGTTTGCTCCTCAAGATATTGAGTCGCGTGGTGGGCAGCGTCTCCTCCGAGTTAGTGATTTCCATTTGGGTGTGCAGGTCTCGAGTATGTTCCGTAAGCGGGTGGATGCTCCTGGATCGGTTGTGTCTGCTACAAACGGACGCAATGCAGCTCCGCTTTCTTACTACGTGAACGTCATGGGGACGTCGGAGGGAGGCGTCGGCGCTCTGGTTCCTGTGGGTGAGCGAGTGTTCCGTCGTCTCTTTACGCTGCAGAACGTTATGGTGAATACGCTGCCTCAGAACTGTGCGCTGAACCCACGTGAGTTCCGCATGCTCAAGACCAACGCACAGCGGCGATGCGGCAGACCTGACGCGTGGAGCAAAAAGAAGTGGAAGAAGAGCTTCTTGGATGCCTTCGTGCTCTTCCGGTTCCTGCAACTGGATTATGTAGCACAGAAGGAACTTGCACGTTGCATCGGTACCACACCTGAGGTTGTCATTCACAACCTGCTCGAAGTGCAGCATGCCACTTCGACATTCCTTTGATTGCGAATAAACCGTGAAATTCAGTCTGACTTTGCCTTTACGAACAATTACTTACATGTCATATTATGCTCTTCTGTCGGGTAGAGTTAATTCAGGCGGAAATAGAAAGACAAAACTGTTGGGCCACATCTAAAAATGTGGTTATTAACCCCTCCAGACCGGCGTGCTGCATAATGCAGCATAGGCCTGTCTATAAGGCTGCATAATGCAGCATAAGAGCTATTTAGACTTGGATTTTGTATGTGAAAGAATGCTGCCATAACCGGGGGCATACAAAAAATAAGATACAAAAAACATGGGCAAATATCTTGCATAGATTTGATGCACATGATTTGTAGATAGTATGAACATAAATCGACGTTTATTTTTTTCAAAATATTCTTTTGAACAGTCAACATGCAATTGAACAGGGGACGCTCGCAACACCATCCGTTTCATTTCAGAAATTTCCCGCTTCTGCCCAAGTCGAGCTTCCAGCGCTTCTCAAGTCTAACATGCCGGCTCCACTCGGCAAGCCAGTCCTTCGTGCCCGCGACTTGTCCTTCAGGTCGGTGTGGAAAGAGTTGAAGGCAAATGGATGGACGTCTAAAAAGGCCCCATCGCGCAGCCTTGATAATCGGTATCGCTACATCCGCCCAGGCGCGGACCCGAACGGAACGGAAGGCGTTGACTTCTTTCTAGGGCCTGATGCTGTGCTCGACTTCTATATACAAGGTATTTGAAATGCATGATCAAGCCGTGCGAGTATGTGAATTAACGTTATATTTGAAAGCTGTGAAAGTTACGTCGACGGCACCAGAGACTGGCGGGGTTAATGAACGAGAGCGCGATGCGGATGCTGCTACCCAACCTCCTGCTACGAGCGACGCGGATGAAGAGAGACACGGTGTCCCTACCACTCCCCAGCGCCTTCCGAGTCCCAAACGGATCGGTGCGGCAGAGACTGCTTCAAGCACGCCTGTGCCTGATTCCCCACGCACGACTTCAAGTCGAGAGCGTCATCAGCAGCAGAAATGTCCGGGATCACGACCGCCGTCGTCACGACGACTACTCATTGCTACATCTCCGCACACCGCCAGTAGTGCGTGCGACGACACAGGAGATGATCTAGCTGCTGATGGAGACGAGAGCATCGACTGGACCGGAGATTCTGATGAAGATGATGATGCCCAAGAAGGTTCGTTATACTGCATACCGTGTTGCATGCTATGCTGCATACTGTGTTGCATACTATGCTGCATACTGTGATGCATGTTATGCTGAATGTCATACTAACAAGGTCTGCATTATGTGGTTTTATCTAGGACCTGATGCGGACGTCATGCTGGATAAAGACGACGACTTGAATTACACGGCACCTGATGAAAACGCGGCACAGTATGGTGCGATGGATTCCGGTGATGAAGCTGCTCTTGATGATCTTGATACTGGAGAAGATGGAGAAATTATCCCGGACGTTCTGGATGTTGATGAAGATACATACGCACCTGAAGCGACGGAGTTAGAGATAGCCAATGAGATTCAATTTGCCGAGCAATTTTTGGAGAACATTGGCAGTGAAGAAGCCGTGCTGGCGGGAAACCTCCAGGACACGGTCTTGCGTGAGATGTCTACAAATGGGTGGGAAGACATTGAGCAACCATCTACTTACAACTACATGCAGTCACCGTACGAGCCAGTCGACAACAAGTCCTGCTATCCTGGATTGCGTCAGGGCTATTCAGGTGCGAGTCCTGATGCGCTCCGTTGTGGTGATTCTCCGATAGCGCTATTCTTTCACTTCATGCCTGTGCCACTTTGGCAGCACATTGCTGTCTGCTCCAATGAATACCGCAACGAGATGGTTCCCCAGCGTGTTGAAGAGGCTCAAAAGCGCTACAAGAAAAAGAGAAGAGCTAACCCATCCCTACCGATGAAAACCAGACGTGATATTCAACACGAGCTAGAAACGGAGAAGGCTATCCTACCACATGAAGTTTGTCGCTTCTTCGGTCTATTGATTGCGCGTGCAATCATGCCAAACCGTGAAAA